CAGCGTGTAACTGAAGGGGATCAGACACAGGCTAGTCACAGCAGTTGCTTAATTTCCGTGTACCCTTAGCCCACGGCTTCAAGGCTCTGCAGCTTCATCCTTCACGGCACCAAACCTTGATGTTAGGGATGCAATGACACACTCATAAGAACTGTGGGTTTGTCCTTACTCAAAATTTGGGGGACTGGCTGGAAAGAAACAAAACAAAACAAGGAGACCTTATCCCTAAGTAAAAGGAATTCTGTATTCATTGTTAATGATATCAACACAGAATTTATGTGATAAAATTTATGAGATAAAAACATTGCAGGCCATCAAGCTCAAACACGTAAGACAGGGTTAAATTAAATTATAAGGAGAATCAAATGTTCTTTTATCTCTGAAAAAAAAATGGGTACATTAATTGTCTCTGCATGTAGAGGGACCTATATGTCCTTGGGGGTGGTTGATTTCAGAAGAAATGACTGGGAATGCAGGATTGGGGTAGACGCTCCAAGTGTGCCACGTAATGTCACAGAAACCACATGAATCAGGGCTCAGGCACAGGTGGGGGGCCCTGGGATAGTCCTGCTGCTACACTGGGGCTGTGCATTTAGTGCAGGGCATCAGCCTCACCACGTGGCTCTTCAGGGACTCTTTAAATGAAACACTTCTTGGTTTCCAGCGTGCGTTTCTGTCATCTAGATGAGCTGGAGTAGAGGCCAAATCCCTTGGTGATTTCTGGCCTTTTTTTTTAATGACACCATCAGACGTGGTAGACAAGGGTGGTTAACAGAAAGTCATTCTATTTATTTATGTATTTATTTACGTATTTTTTGGTCATGTGGGTTGAATGGAAGATTGAGTGATGAGGTAAACGAGTCTGCATTTCCTTGGATAGAGACCCTTCCTCCCATCCTTGTTCCTTTAGACTGTTGCAAAATAGCTTAGTCCAAGGAAACGGGAGAAGACAAACGAGTGAAATAATGCCAGAGTCAGCTGTTGCCAGGAAAAACACAGTCTGATTCAGTTAATTTGTTCTGTTAATGTCAAAGGATGTGATTCCCAATTAACTAATTTTAAGAAGCTGTAACCAAAAATAACTACCTCATTCCTCAAGTTAGTGTCTGATGAAGATTAGGATCTTCAAGTAAGAGAACAGGGACTCTACAGAGTCAGGGCAGTCTGTTTAAGATCATCTTCCTAAACAAGTACACGGCTGGCTGGGATTTTCAAACAGGGTTTTAGCCCCATTCAGAGAAGTTGAGTGGGGATGAGAAGGGGAGGGGGCAATCCAAATATTCTGGCAACAGAAAATGTTCCACAAATCACAGATTTGTGTACCCTCAACTTACTAATGACAGAAGCATCCATAGTGGTAAGGAAGGGATGGAGATGCTCCCCTAGTTCAGGTGGAACTAATTAAAACAGGCAAGTAGTTTGCAATAGTTCCAGCTCCCTCACTGAAACGCTCTGTACACATAAACCAGAACAGCTTTAGCAGCTGAGAAAAGCTGGGCCAAAAGTGACTCCACCTCCTCCTCCCTCTTCCTCTCCCTTTACATTGGAATGGAAAGAAAGAATAATGATAATCATTTCTTAAAAAGCAGAACACTCATGGTTTCTGCACAATTCTAGGTGCTTTGACTACCTTTGAATAGGGTTAAAATGGAAGTATGTATGGTCTTAAAAGTCAAGATCATAACTTGCTAACAAAGCTGTGAATTATCCATTAGAAAGCTATGCACAGGCACATGCTGAATGGCAGGCCTTTTTGCCTCTGCAAGTTCAGTTATTGCCTTTGTAATATTAAAGCCCAACAGGGAGCCAGCAGGACACCGTTTGTGCTGTCTTGTCACGTTATGAGTTTCTGGTTTCAGATAAAAGAGGAGAAATGGCCCTTAAGAAAGCAAAGGACTTGGAAAAAAAAAAATCAAACTTCCTTCTCGGAAAGCTAAGGGTTGTTTTCCTGGACATGATGGATAATGACATTTCAACTTTTTTAGTTTTTAATAGAGAAAATGGAGGGAGGCAAATCACGGCAGGAAAAGGGACTATATAAATAAATAGAACAAGGTAGCGTTTCAGCAAGAACTTCCCTCAACTTTCTCTCTCTTTTACTTTCTTTCATTTCCTTTCTTTCTCTCTCTGTCTTTTTGAAATCTTAAACCCCACTTCTGGCTTGCATTTGGTAGGATTCCTGCTCTGGCTTTTATTAAAAACACACTTTATGCGGTCAGAACTCTCCATCTGAAGCTGGAATTTAATGGGCATAAGGACCCTGACAGTCTTTCTCGCTCTCTCTCAGGTGACCCCTCCTCGGAGGGGTTCCCCTCCCAATGTGCTGAACTGGCACTTAAATTTGAACGCTCAGCACAAAACCACCAACTTTCCTCTTTTACTCTGTACTCCCATTTCTGTTTTAAATTTGGGACTGTGCAAGGCGAGATCCAGTTAACTCCGGCTCTAACTTGAGAATATTCTAGAATCTTTGAATAATGCAACTGTTGTGCTGTAAGTTCCCCAATGCCGGCGGGTTAACCTGGTAGCCCCCTGTCCAGCTCTGCTGCCGGTGGGCAGCCAGCTGTCCAGGGCAGGCTACCAACTCCCGCCTGGCTGCCTTCTGCGTGCGAGCTCGGAAATACCAACAGCGACTCCACCCCACTTAACAAATCAGTTTAGCATTCAAAAGATGATTTTTTCTGAAGGGCTTCTGGCAAGCCAGCTTATCTGAAACCAAGAGGTAAAGCAGCCAATCGAGCAGGCAAGACATGCACATTCATTCCCGAGGACAGGCATCACCAGGTTGCTCTGGTTCCTTCTGACAGCTAAACAGACAAAATAGCCGACTTCAAGGCTCCTGGACGGAACTCCGCCTTCCCATTCCTGACCCTACCCCCTATCGCCTCCATGCCTTCTTGGCACAATGGCAGACACTTTCCCAGTCAATCTGAGGTTTTCTAAACCAATATATTTGAGCTTGCTTATAGTGGGGCTCAGCGCTGAAACTCGTGTTTTTCCCATGCAAAGGAAATGCTTTTGAATAGTACAGTACAGTGGTTCTTGGGGAGGAGGGTGATTTTGCCCCTCCTGGGAATATCTGTCAATGCCTGGAGATGTTTTTAGTTGTCACAAATGGGGCTACTGACATCTAATGGGTAGAGGCCAGGGATGCTGCTCAACATCGTCCAATGCACAGGACAGCCACCCACAACAAAGAATTATCTGGACCCAAATGTCAGTATCATCAAGGCTGAGAAATCCTGGTGTAGTGGTTAGGAGCTGGGCTGTGGAGTCAGACTGCTTGGGATTCAACCTCACCTCCACTATTGACTGGCTGAGCAGTCTTGGGCAAGTTGCTTAACCTCAGCACCTCATCTGTAAAATGTGGATAATAATCTATCTCGTTGGGTTGTTGTGAGCATTAAATAAAAAATGTACATGTAAAGCTCTTAGGACAGTGCCAAGCACATACTAAGAGCACCATATGTGTTAGCTATTGTCATTACTATTATTACTAGAAGTTTAGCTCAGTTCCAAATATGTTATGGAAACCCTGGTGGTGTAGTGGTTAAGTGCTTGACTGCTAACCAAAAGGTCAGCAGTTTGAATCCACCAGCCGCTCCCTGGAAACTCTATGGGGCAGTTCTACTCTGTCCTATAGGGTCGCTATGAGTTGCAATTGACTTGACGACAATGGGTTTTTAAATATGTTATAAGCCAGATCTATTAAGTTTAGAGAAAAAAAAATAGGTATAAATAGGACTGACAGTACGTATATCCTTTTTGATTAGGACCAAAATGGTAACACTTAGTAGCAACCACTGTGCTTTAGAGTTTATTAAACTCTCATGTGATCTGGACAACAGCCTTGTTGTTGACTTTTCCCCATTTCATAGATGTGGAACTCCCATCTCAGAGCTGAATGAGATGCCCAAGGCCTACGACAATCAAGCTCTCCAAATCAAGATTCCAGATCTCCTGCTATTCCCGATACACCACCCTTTTTCACTAGTTTAAGATCCCCCTTCCTTCTCTTCATACACCCAATAACCTGAGGATCAAAATGAAATGTAAGCACCTTCATGGGTTGGTGGGCACATTTAAAACTGAAGTCACTTCTGTTTTTATGGTACATGTAAATAGTAGGGTTTCCTTCATGGAGCATAGAATATTTTTATTCTCTGAGTTGAATTTCTAAATAATTAACTTTTTGTATGGGCTAATTTTCTTTCCTTTTTAAATTTTTGATTTTGGGAAAAAAAAAACTTAACTTCTAACTTAAGAATCTACAGATAGACACAGTGTATATATTTTAACCATAAATGAATGAAGGTGAGAATCTAGTAAATTGCATTTACTTATTAGCTGTTTTATTTCACATTTAGGCCTGAAGACATGATTATAATTGTCAAAATGTATTATTCAAATGCATGGTTCTATTTCTTATATATGGTTAGTCATTGTACACAGCAATCATTATGTCTAATGTTAAATTTTGTGTGCATACTTTGTTTGTTTTTAAACAATTGCAGATTAAACAGCCAGATTTTACTCAGGCTATATTAACAATATTGGGTTTAAGAACTACAGTTCAGAGGGCGATGGGTAATATTCCTTGAACTCAGTGGTTTTCTAGAATTCCTTTGGTTATAGAGAAGGCCCATGACAACTCTCATGACCTACAGAACACATGGCGTGCCACAGCCCAGCCACCACTCTCGTTTCAAAGCCCTCGCTCAGATTCTACTAACAGCTGCCAAAATGACATTCATTTGGATCCAGTTTTCTTTGGTTCCATCTTATGTGTGCCAGTTGATAAATGAGAGGCTTTAATGACTACATATTGGTCTTTAAATGGTATAACGGGCTTAGCAATTTCCCCACGATGCCCCTCTAGGGTGAATATTGCACACATGCATAACATTTTTGCAATTTTCTTTTTCAAATATATTTTGTCTGTCATACTATGAGAAGAGAACCGAAGAGCCTCCCCGCCATTTTTTTGCTCTGCTCCTTACCTTGGAACACTGGGAGGGGCCCTTGTGGGCCGAGATGGGACTTGTGGAGGGGTTCCAAACGAGTCGGTGCTGTTGGGAAAAGGAGGTAATGGGCCTGGACGGAATGGGACTGGGGGGGCCCCAGAGTGTGGGCCCGGAGAGGGAATGGCAGGAGCTGGTCCTCGGCCAGATGTGGGCCTTGTGAGGGGAGCACTTAGTGTTGGCCTCCTTTGGGCTGTGGGGCTTGGAGGGGGTGACCTGAGGAAAAAGACAAACAGCAATTTGCCCACTACTACTTTGTGTCTGAATTCATCTTAAAAAATATTTTATAACTTTGACTAATTTTAAAAATTACCATTTTTTTTTGACTGAGTAATTCAGATACATGCTGCAAAAGTCAAAAGGTATAAAAGAGTAAAGGGTGAAAAGTGAGTTTCCCTCGCCCGTCCTTTCATTTTGTGGAGACAACCACCAATAGCAGTTTCTGTGTGTCTTTTTAGCTATATTCTACATCTGTACAAATGTATATTTTCTCTCTACATATAAATTCCTTTTTCTGGTACATAAATGGTAGCACATTATACACACTACTCTACAACTTACTTTTTTTAAAAAAAACACATGAACTTGACTATTTTTTCATTTCAGTATTTAAAGAACCACCTTTTCCGTTTTAATGGCTGTATGATATTCCATTGCAAGGATATATTGTGCTTATTTTTAAAGAGAGTTATGATAAGCTGACCCTCTTTCTCCTGAATTTGAACATCTCTTTTTCCTTCTTTTCTTTAGGTTCCTACTAGTTTAAGAAATCTCTCTTGGAAAACGATATTGGATAAGTTTGGTGGGATTCAGGCAACACGGGGACTGCCCTCCTACCTGCGAGAGTGCTGTATCCAGGAATCGTCCACCGGAGGTGGTGCGGGAGTGGACACGGTGGCAGTGTTGATGTCACCAATGATCACAAGAGCTTCTTTAAGCGCTTGGTACATTCGCAACATCTCGTCCCGGCGCTGGGCCTGCTCAGCAGACTCCTCCATCAGAGTATTTTGATCCTCTGAAGAATATAACTGTGCTAGGAGCTCCGAATTTATGAAATCTTTAACCTGTCAGATCACCACAGAAAAATAAAAGTGGGAATGAATGAGTGACTCAATGGTCTAAATATGGCTGAGATATTCAGAGGCTGTGGACAAAGTCCACAAACATCCATTTTGGGAAAAGGAAGCATCGTGCATCTGGTTATTCTTATTTTCTTCATTATCATCCCCAGCCTTAGTACTGGTGCCAGTAAAGTTTTTCCTCTTGTCTTAGGCTGTTGAAAAGAATAATCCAGATTAGTTGAGGAAAGGGCCAAACCCTGCCATCACCAGAACAGGGCCTGCTGGCTGCACAGACATTCCAGTGGTGCTGTCTGAGGCTGCTTGGCTTATAGAAGAGACAAGGGGCCATAAGGCAAGCAACAGCATTTTGAACAGGAAATAATGAGATTAAAAAAAAAAATCTATGTAATAACTTAAGTTTTCCAAGTCTTGCATTCCCAGCCCTTTACCTAGCTTTACCAAAATCACTGGTGTATTGTTAAGACCCCAGGTTTCAGTGCTGTCTCAAAAGTGGAATTAGCACCAAGAGTGAATATTTATTAAATACGGAACTTTATATAACTATGCAAGTTGATTTGCTAAGAAAGTGAAAGAGACACTCTGCTCTCTAGAAGTTTACAGTGAAAGCTAGTTAACAGTGATGAGGACTAACTGAGGTTTCATAGTTAACAGATACATAAAAACAAAAGTATGAGCAATATGCTTGAGTCTTAGGAGAGAGACGTTTTGTAGCAGAATAAGCACAGAAAGGATGGTTACGTCGTTGCACAACTGTGAGAAACAGAGCACCAATCACCATGTTTCGTCAAATCTAAGACACCCCTGATTTTAAGATACACCATTTTTTTATGTGCCACTAAAACACCACCAGTGAAATTGTGATGCAATGTCAAGATCCACTGAGTTCAAGATGCATCTTGATTTCAGAAATACTAAACGTGAGAGTTAGAATCAGTGAAATATGGTATGTCCCAGGTGCCTTCACAGGTTACATGATTTAATTCTCACCACAGACCTATGAAACACAATTATTCCAATTTTATGGATGAAGAAACTAAAGCTCAGAGAGCTTAAGTGACTTTCCCAAAATCACACAGCATTCAGTTGAATCCCAAATCTTCGGACTTGAAGTCTAGCGCTCTTTCCATTGCCCCATTATCCCATGGTGACTGAGTGCCTAGAAAAGACAATTTACTTGTGTAAACATCATTATTTTAGAATGGTGTAGCAAGTAAGTCAACTAACTTGAGCCTACAAAAATAAGCCAATTTTGATTTTTCAGTTTCTCCATTAAATGAGAAAATTAACACTTATCCAGGGTAACTGGGTATCTCTAAGAAAGGCCAAACCCAAAACCAAAACTAAATCAGTTGCCGTCAAGTCAATTCCTACTCATGGCAACCCCACGTGTGCAGAGTAGAACTGTGCTCCTTCATGGCTATGACCTTTTGGAAGCAGATTGCTAGGCCTTTCTTCTGAGGTGCCTTGGGTTGGTTTGAACTGTCAACCTTTCCGTTAGAAGGCAAATTTGCTACAATTCAGATAAACAACAGAACATCTGTCAGATGCTCAAAATTCCTGGGCTGTAGTTCAGTTTGTAAGTCAGAGATGACCAGAGTCTAAAACATCCAAAAACCAAACCAAACCAAACCCACTGCCATCGAGTCTATTCGGACTCACAGTGACCCTTACAGGACAGAGCAGAACTGCCCCAGAGGGTTTCCAAGGCTGTGTCAATCTTTGCGGAAGTCGACTGCCACATCTTTCTCGTGTGGAGCAGGTGGTGGGCTTGAACCACCAACATTTTGGTTAGCAGGTGAGCCCTTTAACCACTGTGCCACCAGGGCTCCAGTCTAAAACATACAATTTCATTGTTTAAAAAATGTATTTGCATTTTTAAAAATTTTATCATGCTTTAGGTGAAAGTTTACAGAGCAAATTAGTTTCTCATTCAACAATTTATACACAAATTGTTTTGTGACATTGGTTGCAGTCCCTGCAATGTATCAGCACTCTACCCCTTTCCACCCCGTGGATCCTCGTTTCCATTCATCCCGTTTTCCTGTCCCTTCCTGCCTTCTTGTCTTTGCTTTTGGGCAGGTGTTGCCCATTTGGTTTGTAGACTTGATTGATCTAAGAAACATGTTCCTCAACTGAGTTGCTGTTTGTTTTACAGGCCCGTCTGATCTTTCCCTGAAAGGTGAACTTCAGGAGTGCCTTCAGTTCTGAGTTAGAAGGGTGTCTGGGAGCCATAGTCTCGGGGCTTCTCTAGTCTCTGTCAGACCAGTAAGTCTGGTCTTTTTTTGTGATTTGAATTTTATTCTACATTTTTCTCCTGCTCTGTCCAGGACCCTCTACTGTGATCCCTGTTAGAATGGTTGGTGGTGGTGGCCAGGCACCATCTAGTTCTTCTGGGCTCAGGCTGGTGGAGGCTGTGGTTCATTAACCCTTTGGACTAATATTTCCCTTGTGTCTTTGGTTGTTTTCATTCTTTGCTCTGGATGGGATGAGACTGAAAGATGTATCTTAGTTGGCTGCTCGCAAGCTTTTAAGACCTCAGACATTATTCATCAGAGTAGGATGTAGAACATTTTCTTTATGAACTATGTTATGCCAATTGACCTAGATGTCCCCCGAGACCACTGTCCCCAGCCCTCAGCTCCAGTAACTCGGTCCCTCAAGGTGTTCGGATGTGTCTAGGAAGTTCTATGACTGTGCCCCCTTTGTGCTCTACTATATATATGAATATACATGCTGTACATACAAATATGTATGTGAAAATATCTACAGCCAAACCTAAATAAGTACGTGGGTATACTCCTATATGCCCTCCTACCCCTATTCAGCATACATGTCTGCCTATGTATCTGCTTGTAAGTTATTTTCGTTTTTACTGTTTGTCTTAGTCGTCTAGTGCTGCCATAACAGAAATACCACAAGTGGATGGTTTTAATGAAGAGAAATTTATTTCCTCACAGTCAAAGTAGGCTAAAAGTCCAAATTCAGGATGTCAGCTCCAGGGGAAGGCTTTTTCTCTCTGTTGGCCTTCTTTTCTTTGGTGTTCCCCCAGACTAGGAGCTTCTCTGCGCAGGGACCCCGGTCCAAAGGACGCGCTCTGCTCCCGGCACTGCTTTCTTGATAGTATGAGGTCCCCCTGTCTCACAGCTCACTTCTGTCTTTTACATCTCAAGAGACTGCCTCAGGACACAATCCAGTCTTGTAGATCAGGTCCTGCCTTACTAACACAACTGCCACCCATCCTCCCTCATTAACATCATAGAGGCAGGTTTACAACATACAGGAAAATCACACAGTACCAGGAATCATGGCCTAGCCAAATTGATACACACATTTTTTGGGGGACATAATTCAAACCATGACACTGTTGTAGTGTTGTATATGCTATTATTTACTGTGGTTGCCTCTTTTTTTTTTTTTTTTTCCCTTGTGTTCCTCAAAGTGTCTCCTTTCCCTTGGTCAAGTTGTGCTGACTTCCTCTGTATTGTGTATTGTCTTTCCCTTCACCAAAGTTAACACTTGTCTACTATCCAGATAGTTATTTCACCCTCCCTCTTCTCCCCTCCCTTGTAACCACCAAAGATTGTTTCTTTCTGGGTGTAATTCTTTTCTTGATTTTTTATAGTAGTGGTCTCATACAATATTTGCCCTTTTGTGATTGATTTATTTCACTCAGCATAATGTCCTCCAGATTCATCCATGTTGTGACATGTTTCACGGATTCATCATTATTCTTTATCGTTGTGTAGTATTCCATTGTGTGTATGTACTATAATTTGTTTATCCATTCATCTGTTTATGGGCACTTAGGTTGTTTCCATTTTTTGCTATTGTGAATAATGTTGCAATGAATATGGGTGTGCATATGTCTGTTCGTATGCTGGCTCTTATTTCTCTAGGATATATTTCTAGGAGTGGGATTGCTGGATCATGTGGCATTTCTATTTCTAGCTTTTTAAGGAAGCGCCGTATCATTTTCCATAGTGGCTGTACCATTTTACATTCCCACCAGCAGTGCATAAGAGTTCCAAGCTCCCTGCAGCCTTGTCAGCATTTATTGTTTTCTGAATTTTTGATCAGTGCCATTCTTTCAAGGGTGTTCATTATTTTTTTTAAGTATCAAAACATGTAAATAATTCTACTAATTAAAAAATTCAAATAAACCACAGCTTCATTGTGGTGGAATGAAAACTGTTCCCCGCGCATTTTTGTAAACCAAGAGTGATTCAAACATGGATGTAATCTAATACATAAGATGTGCTCAGGAAACTGTCTGGTGGAGTAGCGGGCTTATGTGTGATAGTTGTGGAAGGCAAATTTGTCCAGGTAGGTTGGGGCAAGATCTGAAAACCCTGAATGCCAAGGAAAGTGTCTGAACTTTATCCACCTGGCAATGGAGAGCCATGGAAGGTTTTTAAGCAAGTAAGTGAAACAACAAAAGAGTTTTTAGAAAAATTAATCTGGCTATGATTGAAAAAGAATTTGCAAGGGTGGTAGTAGAGATAAAAAAAATCTGTTAAAAGCCTTTGCAGAAGAAGGACACTATATAATGATTAAGGGGACGAT